GAACTGCGTAGAACCATCTAGAACCGGAATTAATTAGAACTGCTTAGAAGCATTTAACACCGCTCCAGAATCATTTAGAGGTGTAGAACCATTTTGAACGTTTCAGAATCATTTAGAACTGTCAAGAACCATTTAGAAGGCCACAGAGTCATTTAGAACTGTCCATAACAATCTTTAGATCCCTTCAGAATCACTTAGAACTGTTTGAAACTAAAGATTTTGACTTATTAAGAAACATAACGTAATTTTTCATCTGAAAATCGTGATCATTCATTGTCAGACCGAGAACACTTCACTTTATCCTCGTGTAGGTGCAACAAAGACAATTAGCAGTAGTCTCATATAAGGAAAAAAGAAAGAGTAATATTGTGGAATTGCAACCTACTCTCTCAAACCAATGTTATTTTAATAACCTTTCTTTGTTCAACTCATAGAATTGACCATATTACAAACATTTTTGCATTTATTTATGTGCATATTAGGTACTCGTATATTTAAATCGAATGTTATAGGAGAAATTTTTTATTACTTTTCCGTATTGTAAACACTTATAGGCATATTTTCATACTAAATCTACTTCCCATAGAATCTAATTGTTTAAATAAAATAGCTTAATTTACTTCCTCTGAAAAATCTCGGCAAAGACAAGCTCCTAAAACAATAATAGGCATAAAATTCGAGCAGACATTGTTTCGTATTTAGATGAAACGGATGAAACGCAACAATTTCGAACGTTGAGAAATTCCTTTCTTTTCTGAAAAACCGTCGGGAGGATATTCGGAGAAAGCATGAGAGCACGCCTTTCTGTATCGCAAATACAATAGGTCATTTATTTATATTGATAAAACTTTTAAATATGTAATTAATAAATGTTGCGTTCGTTAAACCGAAATTCCCAAACGTTCTTCTGCCGGCATAAATATTAATTAGCGAAAGAAAATTGTTAGTTTATTGCTCGAGATGCTAATCGGAATTAATACGCGCTCACAAATAAATCCACCTTACAAATTATATTTATTAATTACCGGCTTTTTTCGATGCGATTAAGGAGAAATTTAACAAGAGGGATTTTGAGACGCCTAGTAGGTAACGACATTGCCAATTCGAAATTGACCGACAAAAAAAACCTATCATAATTCCATGTTTTCATATAGCGAAACAAATTAAATTTTACAGGAAATTATACGTGTCGTGATTGTTTGCGAAGAGATCGAACTCACTTTCTCTTGTTGTAAATAACCTATCTCTCGATAACGAGACAATATACTGCATATACTTGCGTAAAATTCGCAGCAATAACTATTAAATTTTTAATAAATTTTAGACACTTTTAGCACTTATATTATTAATTACTTATAAAAGGGCTTTAAACATCCAAGATTTAGATAAGCGTTAATTTTGCAGTATCCGAGATACAAGAAGAACAGTCATATTAGGAAAAGAAAACCATTGAAGAACCAATTAATTGATCAAACTAACAGCAAAAACTTACTTCTTATATTTACTATACCTACATCCCTTGAGAAGGTTGAACAAGCTCAAAAGAGTAAAACAAAATTCTTATAGAAGCGCTTTTTCCCATACAAGATTTAAGCATAACTTTGCGGTATTCGAAGTAAGTACAAGAAGAACAGTTATATTAGGGGAAAAAAACCATTGAAGAACCATTATAAAATTAATGAAACTGACACCAAAAACTTACTTCTTATTTACTATTCATTTCCTGAGAAGGTTAACCAAAGGTACAACCCAAAGTAAAGCAAAATTCTCATAAAAGGGCTCTATCTCAAACAAGATTCAAGCATTATACCTCTGCAGTATCCTAAATACAAGAAGAACATATTAGGGTAGGAAAACCACGAAAATAATCAAATTTACAGCAAAAACATACTTCTTGTTTCTAAAAACCTTCATGAATATCGTAAAACAAGCACAAAAAATTTAATGTGCAGCAATTAGTGTGTAAATGTTCCATTATTCTGGCGCATATTCGATTCAATGTCGATGATGAAAGAACTTCTTGCAGGTATATCACAATTTTTTCGATGAGCCTATACTTACATATGCATTCTGTACGAGCTGTTCGCATGGTTTTCGAAGACGATTCCGGACAATAATTATAGTTATTGCTAAATTATAAAAGATAGAGGCTGCTGCGTAAGTGCCTCATTAAATATTTTTTTCAAAAGTAAAATAGACAGATGGATTCTGTTAAGTAATCCGGCAATTTTTGCAATAACGAGCGGAGAATTAGTAAAGGCGTGCGTTATTAAATATGTATTTGTCGAAAATATATTCGGTTTGTATAAAGAAGAAGGTCGTGAATTGGTGTCAATTTCTAGTGTTTTTTTATTGTTTATGTTTGTTATTAAAATGTCAAATGGCTTTTATTTGCCTGAGATCTTTCTTCATTTCATATATTTATGGATTTCGTAATTGTTTGAGGTGACATAAACACTTAAACGGGCATAGTTTTACATGTAATTGCGGCTGAAATTTCTCAGAACGACCCGATTAGAATTATTTTATTAGCTCACGCGCGCGCTTCGCTATTATAGTTAATTGAAATATTCGGTATTTTACACCTAACTGCTTCTAGAAACACTCTCTCATTGTTCGGAACGCATCGGATCGTTATTAAACCAGCATTGAAAAAAATTACCTGGTATGTAGAACGTAGAACGTTCTCACACAGAAATATCGCGGATGAAAGTAAAATCGCGTTAATCGATGAGTTTTGCTTTTGCAACGAATCTCTCGCGTTTCATATGGAGCAGCTTTTCGACCACCCAGAGCATCATGCCTCTCCGATCAAATTGAGATTAATACAATATTTTCACGTGTTTGCCAACCGAGCACTAAGATGGAAAATCGAGTCTTGCGGCGGTAAACGTGTTAATCAATTCGTAATTTAATAACATATTCGTAATATTGGGTACAGTTGATGCGCCTGTAATTACTAATAATAATCCGACTGACCGTTCCACATGAGGAAAATCTGAGTCAGGTTTTCGATGCCTTATACTATTGTTATAATCTAACGAAATTGTTTAATCAGTAGCGGAGACGAGCGCAACTAAAAGTAGGGAAAATAGATAATTTTAAAATATAATTAGTACGCAAAATATTCTTTTATAGTGAGCTATATAGATAATTTATTAGGGGTAAAAAAGAGGCTATAAGTTGAGCCTCTTTGGCATGCCTCTGTCGAATTGAAGGATCGAAATTAGTTCCGTTCGATCCGAGCAAGTGCTAATAATAAAAAATAAAAACAATAACATTTTCGTTCTATTAATCCTGATGCTACACCCGTAATTATCGGTAATGATATGTCATTGCCGGGGCAAAAAATTGATACGTGTAGAAAGAGAAATTTATATCAGAATCAGACCGATGACCATGTCGATCTATAATTCGAAAGGTGGTCATTTCTCATGCGTTTTTTCAGAAATTAGTTAATTATATTCAATCGTACGCGGGACATTTCTTTCCTAGAAATTCGCAACAAAAGGTTGAAGTCGAGTATTCGAGTATTCGAGCTCTAACAAACACCACTTTAACCTTTATTAGATACGATAAAGACATAAATAAATTACATAATCTACTTTAAACACAGAAACCATTCATTCGAGCATTCTCACATTAGTTATGCCGAGTCGCTCGATGGGGTGTGTTACCGAGCACCTACTATCGATACCATTTTTCCCGATAGCTCCAATTCAAACATCATTTTTTTCCATTAAAAAATGCATATTCACACATTCCACCGACCCACTCGTCGATTCAGTTGTCAAACTCGACTATCCGAGCCTGTATGCACCGGACCTAGGCGCTCGATAGCTCAGATGAATGCCCGGTGTTGGACGACTGCACTCACTCTATCGCTTTTAATCTTATGAAGAATCGAGGTAATAAATTACTCGATTCCCAATACGATTCCTTCTACATTTTCAATCGGGAATGTAGATGATCTATTGTTGATTGCGAAGGACGAATGCACTCACTTTATCCCATCGTTTTTAATCTTATGAAGAATCATAACGAGCGAAAGTAATTTATATTGCTCGATTCCCAATACTATTACTTCTGCATTTTTAATCCGGGATTGTGGATCATCTATATGAGTGTGAAGGAGAGTTAAATGCACTGGGATGCGATTACACTCACTTTATCCCAACGTTTTTAATCTATTGAAGAATTACAATGAGCGAAAGTTAGAGTAACCTGTTAATTGCTCGATTCTCAATACGATTCCTTTTACATTTTTATTCCGGGATTGCAGATGATCTATTTATGAATGTGGAGGAGAGTTAAATGCACTGGAATGGTGTTGGACGATTGCACTCACTTTATCCCAACAGTTTTAATCCTTTAAAGAATTATAATGAGCGAAGGATTTAGAGGCAAATTGCTTGGTTTACAATACGATTCCTTCTATATTTTTAATCCGAGATTGTAGATCATCTAGTGATGAATGTGGAGGAGAGTTAAATGCACTGGGATGAATGCTCGGTGTTGGAAGATTGCACTCACTTTATCTCAACGTTTTTAATCTTATGAAGAATCACAATTAGTGAAAATTTCCAATACTATTCCTTCTCCATTTTTAATCCGGGATTGTAGATGGTCTTTTTATGAATACCATCATTTACTTCATACACTTACTTCCCAACATTTTATCCCAAAATTGTTAATCCTTTAAAGAATCATAATGAGCGAAGGATTAGAGGTAAATTGCTTGATTCCCAATACAATTCGTTCTACATTTTTAATCCGGGATTGTAGATAATCTATTGTTGAGTGTGGTGGAGAGTTAAATGCATCGGATTGTTTGGATAAAGTTTAAACCGGTTGCAGTGTGTTCGGTGCAGCAGTTGCAATTCGGTTGAAAATTTCTCCGTTCGCCCAGTTTGACTAGTACACCTCCCCGTTCGCATCCATCCATTCACCTGACTAGAAGGTGCTCGTGCGACTCGATCGCTTTTAGTCTCGACAGGTGTTTAAAACGTTGCGCGTCCGGCGTACCTGTATCGCATATCGAACGCATTCGAACGCCGCTTTTCGCCCGATACATCGATAATATATCGCGGAATTTGAATCGGGAAGAGGATTTTTCCGCACTGGACCCATCGTACCGGCGATTTTTAGTTCGTGACTTTTTCGGGGAAATTTATTGATAGCCAAAAGGGGAGTCGATTTAATGTGGATATGTTCGGATTTCTCTGTGCCTTGTATATGGATTATTTCTCTAATGGATAGTTGATTTAGGTAAGTTTACTTTTACAGAAATTACAAAAATAATAATCCAGAAACTAAACTGCTTCACAAAAGTTAAGGAAGTTCGCAAATTTTGCGAAAGTTACAGACTTTTTGATTACCAAATTTTCAAATATGCGAAATTAAATGTTTTTTCTCATATCTGAGTGGATTTTTTGCCCCTACCTCTACAACTCACACTAAATTTGGCGATCAAAAAACCTGCAACTTTTAAATTAATCTCAATATTTATGAACTTCCTTAACTTTTGTGGAGAAGTATATTTATTTTCAATAGAAAAAAAATGTTCATAGCAATTGAGTAGATCCCTTATACAAAGTTAGGTATTATTATTATTATTATTATGAATAATTTTTGAATTTTGAAAATTCCCCGAAACAATTGGCATCTGTTGCGAAACGGTTGCAGGCTACTCGGATTCCACTGCCTACTTATAACGGAACGGTGCATTTAAAATTAGGTTTTTAAATTATGATAATTTTATGTATTTACCGTTTTCGAATCGGTATATGTGCCATATTGCACGGTAATAATCGTGTCGAATGCTAAGGATTAAACGTTAAAAAGTAAACAGATATAAGCGATGATGACCTTTTCATGTTTATTTTTTTATTAATCGAAACGGTCATCGCTCATCAATAAGGATTTTTTATTTAGAGATCTATGCCTACTGATTAGTCGCTTTAATTATTAGATTGATCATTTTGTACGTTTTCCTGCTTGTTAACGAAATATTTTTATATGATTTATGAATCCCGCATTACCTCTATTGCATTTTCTAAATAATTTCGCCATATTTAGTTTATATTAATTCATTTTATTATTAAAATTTACATATATGAACTATAATATCAATAAATTTTCTACTACTTTTTCATGGCTCTCTCCAGTACCTTCATCATTTTCTTCAGAATTTCAATAAAAAAAATCTCTCAAAACAACACCAATTTAAAATAATTAATTTAATAAATCATCCAGTAAACAACGCATATAAATAATAACGTTTTTAACGTTATAGAGCGGTGTGTCGCTCTCGTCGTTTTGCTATTGTAAATTAATATCGGCCGTTACAATTTAACCGGAGCCGACTTATAGGTGTTACGGATAATCTTTCATACGTTTTACTATTCGTTCGCGAAATGAATTATACCTGACACACATGGTGTAATTTTATAATCCAGGTTAACGGTCCGCGTTCGGCTAACCTTTAAGGTAAATAAATCGATGTTATTTATGCGGCGGTTTTTCGGACTGATAGATGTGAGTCATATACGTTAATTATGGGTAATTTTATTAAAACGGATCCAGTACAGAAGAAGAGCGATTCAATATCGAATGGGATTTTAGTGTGAGAATCACGAGAGTTTGCTCCATTAATTCGTGCGTGGTCCAGAATCGAGATTAATTAATTTATATATACATATTTCAGGTATCATGTAGGTCCAAATTTGTACAAATAGAGAAAGATTATTAAAACAACAATGGCTAGTGTGAGAAAGTTGTAATTCCACAAATTCACTCTTTCATTTTCCTTTATAACTAATAGAAATCGTCTTTTTTGCACCCATTATAAACGTACAAATTTGCACTTATCTGTATGTTAGGAAGCGTTTTTCGGAAATTTCATAAAACTGCGGACATGTAACTGCGTTTGATAAATATTTATGCCAATTATCTAACTAACTCGAGTATTAATCATCTCGGAAATATGCATTCTGGTCATATATAATATAGTAAATAATTTGCAAGATTTATACAATGTACTGGTAATTACGAGTGCAATCGACCTTTCCTATTGAAAGTAAATGGATTTGTCTCATATTTATTTATTTCTTTGAATAATAATCGGTAATTTTCCGTGATTAATAGTGTAACTGTGTTAGAATAAATACGTTATACATTTCCAGTTGAATCGGGTGCATCTGGAGCCATAAATTATGCATGCAGGAAGAGAAGAAACGAATAATATTCATGACATTATACTTTTCTCAAATATCTCAAATACGGCTACGTTTAAGTTATGAATCATATTCACGATTATAATAAAAAAAATACTCGAACTCCGGGGCTGTTCCGGATTTAATCCGAATTAAAAAAAAAATTCCTCGTTAATAGAGGCTTAAAATGCGACATTAAATCGTTTTATTGTCGACGATTTTTTTCACGGTGGATAAGCATCGAATTGTGTGGCGTTGCGAAATTGCGGAAACACCATCGATTTAATGAGTCACTGCGATAGGAAGAGATCAACATCTTTGCATAAAGAAGCCGCGCTGCGAATGGTCAAGGAGGATTTTTTTGTGAAATAAATATTTATCTAGAATAGAAGGAAGCGGGCTTCCTGCTCGTCGAGAATTCGGTATTCAACAGGATAATGCGGGAAAATCGCGCTGATCTCTATCGCGGCTAGAATGCAGAAAATTTTTGTAAATCCCTCGTAGTGGCAACTTATTACAGCATTCTGTTAAATGACGCAACTGCCGTGGATATAATAATTTTACGATTTTATTCCAGCATTTATGTTATTATGTGGCAAAACCGCATGGTTGATAATGATAGCCGATCGAGAAAATCGATAAGTGAAAGGAATCCGGTGTCTCGAGAATTATACGGGATGATTATAAAATAAAATATCTTCTTATTAAATTATAAATGCGCCTTAAACTTTTTTAACATTGCAGCCAATACATTCAAGCGCTTATAAAAGGAATAGTATATGAAGTGTATGAAAAAATTCGACCTTTTTACGATGATTTAACTATATTTTTTGCTCTGCTGATTTTTGCGTATAATTCGAGTATGAATTACCAACGAAATTAGTTTCGGTTAATTTATGCGGTTTTAAGATTTCATAGAAATGGTTAGTTAGTGACTTATGATTTTGTGTGCAAAAAATAACAATTTTTGACCGTGAATGTCATTAATCCTTCATTTTACCATTATAATAAACTTGTGTAAAATATATTATTTCGAAGATTTCAAATTAATTCAAACACCTCAAAATTATGCAGTTTTTGAATATTCCTTGCCAATTTAAATTGCCTCAAATGAATAAAATTAATATTTATATCTATCGTTATTTAAATTAAAATTAAAGACACAAAATTATTAATTTGGGTGACTGAATAAATTCCGTCGATTTATAATCGTTCTATCCTTGATCTAGATTAACATATGACCGTCAATACTGAATATCCTTAAAATTAAACGACTGTTAAAAGGTGCATTCGTTACATTATAATCAAATTAACATAATAATTCAAGAATGTTGACATTTTAATCTTGCTAATACTTCTAAATTTAATACAATTTATGTCACTAATTTGCAATCAACATTAATATTCCCCAAACTAGAAGTTAAACATCTAGCAAAGGGTGACTAGTTGACTGTAATTAAGTTTGATAAAGCATCAACTTCGTTTCCTTTTAAACAACGTTTAAGTGTACATACATTGCATAACAAGTCGATAAACAATTTTCTTTTACCTCGTTTTTTTTCTCGTCAAAAATGTTTGCATTACATAAACAAGACGCGTATAAAGCCAGATAATGTTAATTAATTTTATATAAATATGTAGTGAAACGCAGTCATTCGGTTTACGCCGTTTTTTTCATCAATCGCACAATAATTGTTATCAACGAAAGGAGCCGTTTGATATAAACGAGCGTTTATGTAAAAAACCTGTTTGTGTGATTATAAAGATTTCTCTTAATAGACAGGAAACCATTCGTTTGTACGAAGAATGCGATATTTTTATTTATTACACCTGCATCGCTCGTAAATGCGACTGAGATTCTCGAAACCATGCCGATTTAAAAACTGAGCTTCTTCTTCATCTTCGCAATTTATCACCCGTATTATTCGAGTTTTCGAATAGAAAATGAAGAAAGGAAGATCCTTCCACTTCCGTTCTCTAATCGTCTATTTTGTTAACTCACTAAGTGAATAAAACTGATAGGTATAATAAAATATTTTTTTCTCGTTTATTAGTACAATGAACGCAATCTTCACACTCTATTCTTCCGAAGAAAAACAAAAGTTGCGGTAGAACAAATTCGTATTTCCCACAAGAATTGTGGTTTACAATGGGCGAATAATCTTAATATATTGAATATCGTAGGCATAGAACGAATATTTGTGATTTTGCGCTATTTTCAAATCTATTTTCAGAATGTAAAAAACCAATTCCTGCTATAAGCTCAGCAAATAGGTATTTAGTATACCTACCTCAAAAATTAACAAATTATTCAATATTATTGAGTGTGAGATATGTAATGAAAAAAAATATTTTATCAGTAAAAATTTGTACAATTAAGACAGGCTGAACTAGGTCAATTTTTGTTTTTATTTTAAATTGAATTTAGTATAGGTACTTTAGTTTACCCTAAATGAAACCCCCTTGAAACTTCTGAAACCTCCGAAATTTTTAAAATTAGGAAAACTACGCAAACACAAAAATTTGTTCTCTTGCCTATTAGATAGTTAACAGTTTGAAAAATTGAAAATTGAAAGAAGATTTATTCTTTTTCTATAGATTTAATCTATTTAAAAACTAAAAATTAACCTACTTCAGCGTTTTTTAATCATTATTTATACAAAAAATAATAACTGAGATTTATTTTAATTTATTTTAATGAATTTATTAATTACATATGGTCCACACTGTATAATTAATTACTATTTATAAACACTTTTTATGTACCTATTTGTATGTTCATATCATTTTAACATCAATTTGAGTGTATTTGCAATATTATTATAAAATATCGCGTTTCACTATTATGCGTATAATATTTACAAATCTATTTGATGCTATTTATCTAGTAAAATTAAAGATTAAATATTATACGCTGACCGTTTATTTAAATTGCCCACTTTCTAAGTTGGTTCACCTTCAATATTTGAACATCTGTTCAAAGATTTCGACGATATAAATGTGTCAATAAATAATTTTTTTTTCTTCACAATTCGGCAATTCGATGAGAAATTC